TCTAGTTCAAGGAATCCAGGTGGTTGGGTATCAGAGTGTTCCATCTTGTTTCCCTTTGGGGTTGCTGTAGGTGATCTGGAAGTCTGGTTCTGAGGCTTGTTTACATGTCTTCTCATTTCAATGGGGTGGGGAGTGCTGCTGGAGCCCATGTAGCTCACCTCCTCTGTGCTGGGAGTGGTGGTAGGTTGGCCTGGAAGCGTCCTACTCTGCACTGGGAGCTGTGGCACATTGACCTGGAAGCCTCTTGTGCACTGGGAGCTGTGGCCCACTGACCTGGAAGCCTCCTCTGTGCTGGAAGGTGTACCATGTTGACCCACAAGCCTCCTCTGGACTGGGAGCTGTGGCACACCGACCTGGAAGGCTCCTCTGTGCTGGGAGCTCAGTTTCTTCATTTAAACACTGGAGCTAGTAAGAGCTCTCAGATCTGTTTCTTAGGATCCCATGAGATGCAATAAAGTGTGAATACTGCCCAGCCCATGTTTGCATCATTGGGGCATGTCATTTGAGGTGCTCCTTTAGGCTCTTTTCATCCCTCATTGTTCTTGTTCTTCTACTGTAACATGTCCTAGCAGAACTGTGGCAACCACTGCTATGGGCATCTTGTATGAACTTCTAGCTCTACCTGGGAGTGAGGTTGTGGTTGCCATCATGTCTGCGGTTCAAGTGTGCTCAGTAATAAGCATACTTGTTGAGTTTGGCCTCAGTATTGTCACTTATTTTATTCTGCCTGGGTAATATTGCCTCTTCTGGGTCTTTAGTATGGTTTGCATGTGTTTTCCAAAGATCCTTGTGTTAAAGGTTTGGTTACCAGCCTGTGGTACTATTTTGAGGTAGAGGGACCTTTAAAAGGTGGGGCCTAGTGGAAGGAAGTTAGGTCATTGGGAGGATACTTTTAAATCCAACATTGAGATCCTGGCCCTTTTCTGTCTCTATCTCTTTGGTTTCAGGCTGCCATGAAGTGAAAAATCTACTCTGCCACACACATTCCTACTGCCATAATGCACTGTGCCATCACAGACACAAAGCAACTGGGCCAAGTGTCATTGGAATGCAACTGTGAGTAAAAACCCCATTCTTCCTTATAGATTGTTCATCTCAGGTATTTTGTCACAGTCAAAGAAAGCAGGTTAATACTCTGTGGTCATTTTTCTTGACATTTGAAACACCCTGGGCCTGTATTTTCATACTGTCAATCTGCCATGTTTCTGTTATTGAAAAGTGAACCTGTCCCAAATAATAAAAGTTCTCTACCATGTCATCCCTTAGTCTTTCCTCTATGCTGGAATTTAATTTCTTCTTTCTTAGATGTTCTTAAAAGTGTAAATCTGTCTCTTTCTTAGGATGTGTCCTATTATAACTTGTTGTAGTTTGAAATGTGCTTGTGTGCCCTGTGTGCAGTGTGAAGGTTAGCGAAGGTCCTGGCATACTTTACCTTCATGCCCTCCCAGCTTTGTGTCTACCACACAGGGGCCACATGAAAGATTCCTGGAGAACCCACAGGCATGGATATGTGCTCCAGCCTGGGCAGACAAGAGCAGCAGTATTCTCTAGGTTGCCCACCCATCCCTAAGTTTACCAAGACTGTGAACTATTTGCCTGTGGGCATTTACTAATTGTGTATCTTATTAGTGTAAAGAAAGCAGGAGCAGCAGGAGCAGCATCTGACATCAATTACGGAGTTCTTCATTGCTTTGTCTAGAATGGCCATGAGTATAGCACTGTTTTACTGCATTCTAAGACACAGAGCCTTCTGTTTATTTTTTCAATGCAAAGAAAATTGTATAATAGAAAGATCAAGAAAACAAAAAATAACAACCAATGATGAAGAAAAACGAGGAAAGCAAAATTTACTAATTTCAAGACAATGTCACTGAATTACAATATCTAATGTAAGGCAAAAGTTACATAAATAGATGTCACGCTGTATTGTTCAGAGTATAATGACAAGAAATAAAGTCTGCACACATTCAGCACAGATGCTGTCTTTATAAAAAGTATTTTTGGCCCACACTTGGTTGAACCTGTGGATACAGAACCTGCAGATACAGAGGGCTAACAGATACTTGCTCTTTTCTTTTCTTAACTCACTGATACATCTTTATATTTTTTCCCTTTTTATTTTAAGAAAAAATAAAACAAAATCTTACAACAAAATAATAAAAAATAATTAATTCCTGGGTATGGTTATCTTCAAAGTGGTTGTTCAGTGTACAAGACATCAACAAAAAAGAGTCTTACAAGAAGAAACAAAGAGAGGCAGGGACTTAGCTCAGTGACACTTTGCCTACTTCACAAGCTCAAGGTCCTGAGTTTGATCCCTGATACCAAAAACAAAATAAAACAAAACAAAACAAAAAAGAAGAAACAACCAAATGATAGCACAAAACTTTCTTTTCAATAAACTAAGAGAAACTAGTAGTATAAATGAAACAAATTAGTGTATATATTAAAATATTTTTGAAACAATGGAATAAGAAATTTGGGGAATCTTTCCCTACTTCCTATTTATCTAGCCTCCTGTGGCTCCTCATTTTCATACATGTGCTTTGAATTTCTTATATAAGAGAAACCTTGCATGATTTAAGCTTGTGGGTCTGACTTATTTCACTTAACATTAGAGTCTCAATTTGTATACATTTACCTACAAATTTCTCAAGTTTATCTTTTTCTTTATAGCAGTGTAGTACTCCATTGTGTACAAATAGCACATTTTCCTTACCCATTCATCTGTTGATGGACATGTGTGCCATTTCCAAGATCTAGCTATTATAAATTGTGCTACTGTAAACATGAGTATACACATATCTTTGTGGTATGATAGCTTTCTCTTTTTAGAAAATATTTAGAAGGGGGGCAGTTTGGTCAACAGAACTTTCAACCACTCCTCCTCATTGCGTATTAATCTATTCAGGAAACATTTATAAAGTATCTACTTGCATCTGACTAAAAGCCTCAGACTAAGATAATGAAAGCATAACTCCTGCCCTTGAGAACTCACAGCTGGAGCCAAACAATTAGAGCTCAATAGCAACAGGAAACACCACAGTAGGAATGTGCAGCAATGGGAAGGGCAGAGCAGGGTCGCCCCAGACTGTCTCAATCCAAATCCCCCTTGCAGGGATTATTGTGCTGTGGCCCTTCCTAAATCTCAGTTTCTTCATCTGTGACATTACTTACCCTATGGAATCGCCATGAGGAATTAAATAAGATAAAGCAGTTATGAGCAGTTGCACATAGAAAGCCCATAGAAACACATAGTACATGTTAACTGTGGCCATCATTCCCTGATGCGTAGGTCTTTTCATCTATAAAGTGAGGGTAGGAATTGCACTCAGTTTACAGGAGAGGAGTTCCATGAGAATTGAATTATTTGCTGCACAAAAGTGTTTGACTGTAAGCGTTTGATAATTGCTGAGTATGATTCTTTTGTATGAAGTAAAATAGGATGGAATAGAGAAGTGTTCAGTGCTGTAGCGTACTAATGTTTACAACTTATTTAGAGTGCATTAAAAATAAGATGAATTGAGTAGATGAATAAAGGTTTGGAGAAATGGATAGATAGGATGGAAGAAATATAGCAAAATCTTAATTCGAGCATCTAGATTGTAAGTACCTGGGTGTTGGCTGCAGCAATCTCACACCTTTTCAGCACGTTTGAAAGTTTTCATAATATAATGTTGGGGGAAAAATGAATGGTGAATGATGGGATGGTCTTTGAACCAGGGTTTGAGCAAGGAAATTCTATGGAAGGATCTGAAGAACTGGATTGATCGGCCCTTTGCTGTCTATCCCCACGTAAGAAGAGAACTGCAAGTGCCAAGGCTCAGAAATGTTCAAGAGTCGGCATCCTCTGAGGTATGGTGAGAAAAAGGTTCTTGAGTGAGGAGCAGAGGGTGCCATGGCCAGGGGCATGGAGCAATCCCAGGTTCCAATCCCAGGTCTGTATTTACTAGCTTTATAACCTGGGAGGAGTTTGGGTAAGTCTTTGAGCTTTTCTTTCCTTATCTAGAAAAAGGGACATAACAGTACCTACCTTAGAAGATTTCTTTCAATACAGCATTAGTTCCTATCTCCTTAGGAAAGCTCACCCTCTTAGCGCGGGTCTCTTCTCCATGGATCCACCTAATCCCTTGTTGAATACGAAGGGTCAGGAGAGATTCACTGGAGAAGGGAGAAGATGGTGGGAGGGAGGGTCATAGGGGGCAAAGTTAAAAGAAGAGTTGAGTGGGAGTCTGGGTCTCAGAAACATGTCTCAGATACCAGTCAGAGAAACATAAGAGGCCCAAGCTTATTACTTGCTCAGCATCAGGCACGTGGCTTCTAATGCTATATTTAAAACGCTACTGAAATTATGATCCTGTTGTAGTTCCTTTGCAGGCTCTTCATCAACCTAGGTGGAATGTGTGGCTGGCAGGAAGCCAGCATCATCCCTTGATCCCCTCCTCCATATGACTCAGCACAGATCGGACACTTTAATAGCTTCTGAGTCCAAGTTTGAACTCGCCCCAAATGAAAGCCTCCCTCCCCTCAGTGCTTCCCCTACCTTCACAGCCCACTCTCCATTTCCAATTTATCTGCTAGTAAATTCTGAGTTGAGCTTGGAACCAGAGTTTCATTTACTTTTGGCAAGGGATCAATTTCTTCCAAGAAAAGAAAAAATGAGGAAAAGGAGGGGTAGAAGGGGGAAATTTTTAAAAAGCCCAGCTAAACTAAAAGAGCTCATGGAAACAGCCATACAACATGAAGTAGCTCAGCAAAGAAAGAGCAGTTCTTTTTGGTACATTAAGTGTGAGTGAATTTGAAACAGAGTTTGAAATGATCAGAACATGCAGCTGAGGTTACCAACCAAGCACAGATGGTCTCCTGGTTTGGAGAGGTTGTGGGGTCACTGAGACACTAGTGACTTCAGAACAGGAGAGAGGGATTGAAGGTAACCACGGTGTCCACATTCATTTTCATTCTGGATTGTGTGGCCATTTGACATGTGACATCCCTCATGATTTCTGGATAGCAGAAGACCTGTTGATATAAGACTTTCCTGATGGATTTGCCATCACTTTGAAAAGCAAGGGATATTTATTGCAATGCAAAGTATCCTGAGTTATAAGAAAAAAAAGTACAGTTAGTTCAACTCCACATATGGGAAAAATGCAAAGTAAATCCTCAACCTGAAAAGAAATTGAAGTCTTATAATAGCCATCAGCTTTGGAAAAATCTTTTTCACAATATTCACTGCTGGAAATGATTTGGAAAATAACTACTCTTCATATTATGGGTAGTCATGTAAATGGCATCATCTTTCTGGAGGGGAATTTGACATTCTTTTTCTCCATCCTTGCCCCACATTCATGTCTTGATTGTGACATTAATTCTCTTTTAACCCCATTTATCAACCTCCCCTAGACAATACTAAAATGTTTGATGTATATCATTTTGCATGAATTCATGCAAGATGTAAGATATTTTGTTTGGATGTAGTTTAATATAGAAAAATGGCATTATAGGATACTTCCTAATTTTTCACTCAGCATTATATTTATAATATTACTATATGGACATTTAAACTATTGCTTCAAACTGTTTTACAAAATTCCATGGTGTGCATCCATTATAGTTTACCTAAGAAGTTCCCCAGTGATGGACTCCCACCTGCCACCAACTTCCCACCTCTGCATTGGGTACTTTGCCCATTAAAACAAAACAAAAAAAAATGCGAAGGACAACACCATAAAAAGTTGGAATGGTGATAGGTATGGGTCTAGTTTTAATCTTTGGCAGGTTGAAATCCAGTTTTCCCAGCACCATTTATTAAAGAGGCTATCTTTCCTTCAATGAGGGTGGTTGGCTTCTTTGTCAAAGATGAGGTGGCTGAGTATGTCTGAAGTTGTTTCTGCATCTTCTAATCTATTCCACTGATCCTCAGGTCTGTTTCTTTGCCAGTACCATGCTGGAAACTGGATAAAAAAGATGTGGGTTTTTTTTTTTTAATAAAATGGAGTACTACTCAGCCATAAAGAATGAGAAACTAGAGACATTTATAGCTAAATGGATGCATATTGAGGCCATACTCTTAAGTGAAGTAAATAGGTCACACGTGTAAATATCAAATAGTTTCTCTAGTGTGAGAAACTGAAAGTGTAAGGATTAAAATGATTAAAACAAATAACTGATAATTTGAAATAGGGAGAAAAGGTCCAAAGGGGAAGGGGAAGTGGGAGGGGAAGGGGAAAGGAAAGAAGGGAAAGGAAAAATTATGAGAAAAGAAAAAAAATGGAAACAAAATCTATGTAATAGGGAAGGGTGGAGGGGGTGAAGGGAGGACAGGGAATGGGGAAAAAATAAGAACCAAGATACATCGCGCACAGGTACAAGCACCTGATGATAAATGTAAACGTATGGTATACCTAAAATGTACCAATAAAATATTTAAGAAAAAAAAAAGCTGCAATGAAGTTTCTTATACATGTTCCTTTACAAATTGTGAGGGGATTTCTTTTGTATATTTATGTCTGTATCTGTGTTTATAAAGTTAAATTTTTCTTCATCCATTTAGAACAGAATTACTGGGTCATAGTACCTGAGTGAATTTTATTTGATTAACTGAGAGAGCAATTTTAAAATATCCCTTCAAATTAAAAATTGTGCATACTCACTGAATGTGCCTATAGATAAAATTCTATACATTTACCAAAGTAGATATAAAAAGATATTCATAGAAACTTTGGTATTAGCAAAACCTTGTGAACTACTGAAGTGTCATGTGAATATACATGAAGGTGAGTCCCTGATGGGTTATTCTGTGGAAAGGAAGCAAGTACAGGGGTGAAAGCACAGTGTCTGAGGATCTAGCAAAGCTCCCACCATAGGCCAAGAACCTTGCACAGGCAGGAGAATTCTTGTCTGTCTTTGTCAGTAGTATCATGGGGATTGTGGCACATGTTTATATGAGTCAGGATCCTAGAAGAAATAAGTTGTGTACTGAAATCAAATAATTTAAAGGCATTTTAAACAAAAGAAGTATTTACAAGGGTGCAAACAGTGTAAAGGAGACCATACCTTACTTCCAAGCTGGCAAAAATGGTGAGCCATTGCCAAGAATGAGTGAGTAGGGGCCAGTTCCTGTCATGCAGAAAGACTGCTGTATGAAAAGTGCTGTCTGACAGGAGCCACAGCCTGCTGTACAAAGAGGGAAAGACACTACTGGGGAGACCCAAGGGACCAAATAGCCCCCCGATCTCCACCCTCTCTTCTATTGCCATTCTCCTGGGAGTGAGAGGCCAGGGCTCTGTTGCTGCTCTCCCTGCAGAACGGGGTGCAGTGTGGGCTGGGGAGGGGATGGGCTAATGGAAGGTACCCAGCAGAACACCCCCTATCAGGTTTTGGAAGAATTAAATGAATAAAGACATGTAAAGGGCTTAGGAGAGCTAGTGGCACATAATACAAGAGTTAATAAATGTGAGTTATTGCTCTTATCAGTGTTTCATTAATATTAGTATTGATTACCCATTAAAACCATCGAGTCAGAGCCAGATGTACTGCAGTGGAGTTATATGGCCAAGATACATGCTGATGAAAAAGGAAAGCAGAAGCTACTTGGTGCAAGGAGTGTGAACCCTTTTATAGAAAAGATTGGGAAAAATATTAATGGTAGTTGTCTTTGTAAAGAGTATTTGAAAATGAGACAATGTTCTATCTTCTTTCGTATTTGTTCTTTTTGACAATGTGCATGGGTTATTTTATTTTTATTGATGAAAATATTAGATGCTAGCTGGGAGATGTCTTCATGGAACATGGTCTCTGAAATTGTTTAAGTATTTGTTCATTTAAGAATAAAATATGCAGTTGAGAAGAGCGGTATTTTCTGAGTATCAGAATTGGAGTAAAATAGTGCTTTTGATAATTTGAAGTTGTCTGGTTTGCTCACTATTTATTACTGAAATGTTAACTTCACATACTCCCTCTCCTTAATTCTATCCAGGAATGAGTGACTTTCAATAATTTTAAGTAGTGAGATGTGACCTCATCTATTAAGCAAATTTTGCCCAAATGGGGGGTATATATTGTTATAGATATATAGATATATAGATATAAATATATATACAGATATATTGATAATAAAATAAATACAGAGATGATTTTATGAATGTGTGTATGCAGATTTTATAGATGTGAGCACATACATGCCCATGAACTTTTCAACATGACACCAAAATGCTATGAAGACTAAGAGACTGAACTATGACATCATTCTGCCTAGATTATACTCCTGACTCCACATTTACCAGCTGGTCAGTGTGGGCAAGTTACTTGACTGATGTGAACCTTGGGTTTTTTCACTTCTGGAGTGGAGATTGCTACCTGCTTCACAGGAACTTTGGACAATTAAGTGAAATGAGCATAGCTGGCATTATAGTAATCACTCAACATATGGTAGCAGTTATTTATTGTTAAAAGTAACAGTCCAAACTAGCTCAGCCAACTGAAGAATTTTGTTTTTATTTCAACCCAGTCTAACTCATCTACCAGGAATTTCCTCTGACTGGGAGGTGGCTAGAGTGGGTGGCAGTGGGCATCTACAAGCACACAGACCTAAAGAATATGGAGCTCTTAGAGCTCAACTCCCCTTCTAACTTCAGCCTTCTTGTTCAGGAGAATGGGAACAAAATTTTAAAGAAAGTTCAGTGATATATGCAACCTTACAAGGCTGGGGCTACAAAACCAAGTTTCCTGCCCTCCATCTGTCTTCTATTTTGGTATTTAGAACCATCTGTTCATGGTGATCAGTGGCTATTTTTTTAAGGAAAGGGAGAATGTACCCAAGAGGAATCCTGAGCCGAAGAACTGTAAAGGCCATCTGACTCATTGCCCTGCCTCATGTCTCCTGTTCTGCTATGGTGCTTCTCAAAGAACAGTGACCAGGAGTAGGAACATCATTCAGCATGCACAAAAGAGCAAACCTGAGCAAGCCATGGCCATTGCTTAGCTGCCACCTGACTTGCTCCTTCCAAAGAAATGAATTGTCCTCCTTGTGGTAGAAGCCCAGTTCTTCAAATCAGATGTGCCGTGGATCCTTTGAAACTGGAGCCATTATCCCTGTCATTCTGTTCAACTTTACTGCCCAAGAGGACACTAAAAGTGTCCTCTGAGTTGGGCACAGAGCCCACTACTCAGAAGGGAGTTTTTCTTCTATGTGATCTCCTATAGACAGGAGGTGTCATGTAAACCAATGTCACCATTGTAATCATCACAGAGACTTTGGAGGACAAAAGGCTCTGGGCATCAACTCAAAGTGAATGACTTAAAAGATAAGGAAAAAAAGTCTTTACCCTCAATAGGCCAGTAAGTTTTTGTCTTGCTGTCAAGAAATTTGTAATCATTAGAGCTGTCTAAAATGAAGTTGTAAGTTTCCTACTGCTGCAAGTGTTTAGTCAGAGTCTAGCGAACCACCTAGTGTAAATATTGTACAAGACTCAGATGATCTCTGAGGTCCCCATTCTATGGCATGTCTCTATCTTTTTCCTTTCCCACCAAAGAGGGGAGTAAATGGAGAGATTCCTACAGAGAGCAATGGGGAATCTTATCAGTTTTCCCATAGTAAAAGTTGTTTCTGTGGATGGAAACCAATGTGATGGACAGAATAAAATCTAGGATGTGGAATTACAATGCTGGCCAGGGGTATTAACCCCTAGGTGACTCTGGTGCCAGTCACTTCTGCTCTCACAGTCCTCATTTCTATACCCATCTATGCATGAGATCAGAGTTTCTCTAAACTTATGATGGCTACTTCATTTGGGAGCTCATAGTTGGTCAGACAATAATGTGCAGTCATCTGTATGCAGATAGACATTTGGCAGATTTACAGTGAAAGAATAAAACCCAGAGCACTTTCTGGGGCTATATATTGTTCCCTATTTTTTTGGCTATGGAGAACACATGTTGAAGAATTAATTAGAAGGGGAAGTCTTTAAACCTTGTCCATTAATACTGCTCACACTGATGATAGAGTCCTGGAACTCTTACCAAGTGCTACTCAGGTGTTTGCTTGTGGTCCAGGCCAGAATAAAGAGAGGACATTGCCAAGAGCCTGACTTCTGCAGGCTTGAAAGATGATGCTGTTTTGATCCACACTGTTGCTGTAACGAAGGACCACAATCAGGAGGCTTCAACAACAGAAATGTATTGCCTCACAGTTCCAGATGCTAGAAGTTGGGATGTCTGCAGAATGGCTCCTTCTGAGGGCAGTGAAAAGAGGATCTTCTCCAGGTCTCTCTTTCAGTTGTACATGGCCATTTTGTTCACATATCTCTTCACCATGTCTTGCTTCTCTCCATGTCCTATGCACATATTTCCCTTTTTTGTGTGTGAGGTATCAGTCACATTGAATTACTGCTCACTTTACTGATCTCTTTTTAACTTGATCATCTCCATATTCTGTTTATAAATAAAGTCATATTCCAGAGTATTAGGGGTTAAACTGTTAGCCTATGTATTGTAAGAGGATAGAACTCAAGTTACAATCCCACCCATACCACCTTACCTACCCCCTTGGGTCATGTCATAATTAGGAGGATTGGTAATTGGTAGTGAGTCATAAAAATGACCATATTCCCCTTTAGGTTCATGTGTCCCATTTGGCTTTATTTCTCTCCAGATTTTTAAACTAATATTTGTTTCATATAAATATCTCCTGGAATTTGGTGTTTGGTATATGTGTATATAGGGGAGAGACAGCTAGAGATACAAAAACAGAGAAAAATATTTGCACATGCTTCCTCATCTCAGAGCTTCTGATAGGTAGAGAAATAGACCA